CTTTTTTCCATGTCAAACATATCCTTGAGGATTTTTTAACACTCCCCCTCAAGCTGGCGAACAAATATTGTCCATGCCCAGCTTGTTTGTAATTCGTTGGAATGAGTGCCTTGGTAGTCCCTTGGTAAGAATGTCTGCAAGTTTTCCATCCACTGGGACATAGGGAGTACTGATTAGACCACAGTCTAGTTTTTCTTTGATAAAATGTCGGATCCACATCTACGTGTTTAGTACGATCATGCTGTACCAGACTGAGCTATATTAATTGCGTACTTTTTATCGCAGTATAACTTCATACCTCCTTCCCACTTGATACCCAAGTCTTCTATGATAATTTTGAGCCATAAAAGCTCACAAATTCCATGTGTCGTAGCTCTAAATTCTATGTCAGCACTTGATCTGGCTATCACAAGCTATTTCTTACTTCTCCATGTAACCAGATTTCCTCCTAAGAAGCGATTAACTATTGAACTTGTCCAATCCGCATCCGTGTATGCTTCTATACTCAACTCTTGGTTATGTTCGAAGAGAACACCTTTTCCTTGTGTAGACTTCAAATATTTTAAGATTCGATGAACAACTTCTAAGAGACATTCCCTTGGAGAATGCATGAACCGACTTACCACACTTACAATATAAGCAATATTTGGCATAGTATGAGACAAATAAATGAGTACGAATCTTTGATATCTCCCCTTGTCTACCATTGTGTCCTCTATAGCTTCTCCTAGCTTGTGATTTTATTCAATGAGAATTTTAGAAGGCTTACAACCTAGCATTCATGTCTCCTACATTAGATCAAGAATGCATTTTTGTTAGGAGATGAATATGCCATTTTTCAAGTATGCCACTTCAATCCCCAAGAAGTATTACAACTTTCCCAGTTCTTTTATTTAAAATTCTTTTGCCAGTTACTTTCTGAACTTCTCAATTTCTTCAAGATCATCCCCTGTTACAATAGCATCAATATGAACAATCAGGATAGTGATTTTACCGCTTCTTCTCTTTTTTCCCCTCCTTT